AAAAACACTACAATAAAAGCAAGGTTAAAATTTTATGTATGTGGCTGTGTTGTGCATATGAAGGCTCTGTGTGTGTGTCCACAAAAGCCAGGGGGGCCACCAAATCTCCTGGAACTGGAACCAAACCCAAGTCCTTGGCAAGAGAAGCAAGTTATTTGTTCTTGTTTTGATTTTTGTCAAGACAGGGTTTGTTTTTGTTTTGTTTTTTGAGACAGTGTTTCTCTGTGTAGCCTTGGCTGTCCTGGACTCACTGCGTAGACCAGGCTGGCCTCGAACTTCCAGAGATCTGCCTGCCTCTGATTCCTGGGATTACAGGCTACCACTAAGTATTCTTAACCACTGAGTCATCTCTCCAATCTTGCCTGTTTGTTTGTTTTTAAATACAAAAAAAAAAAAAAAAAACAAAAAATAATGCAATCAACCAAACAAGCCGAAACATAACAACATACCATTTTTAATTGGACCTTAATTAAGAGAAAAAACTAACTGCAAACTGTTTTACAGAACTAGTTTCTTGGTTATCTTATCTGGTCACTCCAGTCCTACCATACACACACACACACACACACACACACACACACACACACACACGTAGATATTTTCCCAAGATAAGTGCACTTGGCCCATGTGACAGGAGGACTCAAGGTCGGTTTTTCAGTGTGCTTACGTGAGCTTACTCAGCACAACACAGGTAGCAGCTCCCTCTGCAACACTCACACCTCCTTTTGCTCCCCCAGCCAGCACTCCTCGCCATGCCACGCACCATTGTGATCAAAGACTGGCTTGTCTGGATGCTCCTTGCTCTAGTAAACTCACACTCCCTCACCAAGCTCGGGGCTTCCATTAACATCTGAGAAGGCTTGTGTTGTACAATAGCCTCCCGTTGACACTCTGGACTGCTGAAGACACGCTGGAGACAGGAGATGAGTGTAGAATCACCAGTCTGATGAGAAGCTCGCTTCATCTGGGCCTCAGCTAATGGGTCAAATGGGGAGAGAGCAGGGGGCAGGTGGACAGGCACTGAGAGATGAAAAGAAGCGGGAGGCAGGGATGGCACCCAGGTTTCTGAGCCGGACAGTGGACACCGTTTGCTGAGAGAGGAGGCTCCAGCAGATGGTGGGAAGCTCAGTGTGATCCCCCTGCATTGCAAGTGGGTGGGGAAGCCAGTGCAGCCATCAAGGAGGGAGGGAGCTGGAGGCAGAGGAGAGGGATCCAAAGACAGTGAAACGCCACACTTCCTGGGCATGCCCACCTTGTGTGCTCCCGGAGCCTCTCAGGGAGAAATGCCGGGTTTTCCTCAGAGCCTGCGAGTCTCTCTTGTTTTGCAAAGTATGGAAGCAATCAACCAGGGCAGGAACTGGGCTGCAGGGCACCAGACCCACGTCCCCATCAGCCTCTTCCCCATGTGTGCTGACAATAAGGCACTCAGCCTTGCCTCCCAATTTTCTATTTTATTGTAAATATGAGAGGAAGGATACCTCAGGCCTTCCAGTTCTCTTCAACCCTTACGTTACATTCTGTTCTTCAAATTATGACTGTGATTTAACATTTTCATATGTATGAGTGATTTTTCTTTTCTTTTTTGTTTGTTTTTTTCTCTTATCTTTTTCTTTCTTTTTGATTTGTTTTGTTTAGTCTTTAGAGACAGGGTTTCTCTGTGTAGCCTTGGCTGTCCTGGACTCACTTTGTAGACCAGGCTGGCCTCAGACCCACAACAATCAGCCTGCCTCTGCCTCCTTGAGAGCTGGGATTACAGGTGTGAACCACCACACCTGGCTTGTTTCTGGTTTTTCAAGACAGGGTTTCTCTGTGTAGCCCTAGCTGTCCCGGAGCTTGCACTGTAGACCAGGGTGGTCTTGAACTCAGATATCCACCTGCCTCTGACTCCTGAGTGCTGCCACTAAAGACGTGTGCCACCTCTGACTGACATGTGTGTCTGTATTACCATTTCCATGCCTGAGGAGGCAGAAGGCATCAGTTTCTGTGGAGCTGGCATTACAGATGGTGTGAGCCATCTTGTGGTGCTAGGAATCCAATCCGAGTCCTCTGGAAGAGCAGCCAGTACTCTAACCTCTGAGCTGCCTCTCTAGCCCTATGATTATGTTTTTGGCTAAGGTTAAATTGTTTTAAATATTTGGGGACTTATCACGTACAGGGTACAGGACATTAACCTCATTTCCACACCACCACCTTCTCCCCTCCACAAAAAAGAAAAGAGAAGAGAAAAAAAAGAAAAGAAAGCAAGTTAAAAGAAAAAAAAAAAAAAAAGGCTGGAGGACCCAGGCAGGTTGAGCCTGAGCCACACCCTAAATTCTTTTTGTTTGCTTTTGTTTTGTTGGGTTTTTTGTTTGTTTTGTTTTGTTTTGGTAGACTAGGCTAACCTTGAATTATGGAGATCTACCTGCCTCCAGGGCCCATCCTAAGCTCTTACATCAACCTGTTTCTCTTTTCCCAACCCCACCCCCAAGTCCTCTGTCTGCTCACTGCTCCAAAATGCCCTCCTGAGGCCTCCAGGTCACCTTCGGCCGTGCCTATCCTCTCCTTTTTAAAAAGGGACTTTATTTTAAATTGTCTCCGCGTCTGTGGACGGTATGTGCAGGGGTGCAGACCCTCCGGAGCTGGAGCACAGCTAGTTTCTGGAACTCAAACCTGGCTTCTCTGCGAGAGCGGTGTACCCACTGCTAACCGCAAGACATCTCGCCAGCCCTTCCTGCTCTTCTTAAAAACGGGCGAATTGTGGACTTTCAAGACCCTATGTCAAACTCCTCCCCCAAAGGAAAAAAAAATCTGCCAGGAATGGAAATTATCTTTATACCTTCATTGTTTAAAAACATTCTTTGTTTTCTACCTTCCCTGGTAGAAGCGATAACTATTTATTTGGGGTTTGGTTTTGTTTGTCGGTTGGCTTTTTTTTTTTTTTTTTTTTTGAGACAGGCTGTCTCTGTGTAGCCCTGGTGTCCTAGAACTCAATAGAAAGGTCAAGCTGGCCTTGAACTCGTGGAGAGTCCAAGTCTCTACCTCCCAAGTGACTAAAGGCACATGCCACCACACCCAGCTTCCCCCACACTCTCTTTTGAGAGAGAGAGAGAGAGAGAGAGAGAGAGAGAGTGTTAGAGAAAGAGAGGAAGAGAGGGGGAAAGAAGCAGGTGAGAGATGGGTACTCCCAGGCACTACTCTTCATGCAAATTGATTCCTTTATTGCTCATAGCACTTCTAAGAGCTAGATGTGTGTTAGTGTCAGCCTGAAAGATAACAGGAAATTGTAGATTAACTAAATTTCTGGAGATCACAGAGTTAACAACACCCAAAGCCAGTGTTGAGCCCAAATAGTGTACATACAGTCCTAGCCTGGGAGTGGGAGAAAGTGGCTCTTGACGCTTTCTAACATAGAATTTTCAGGCTCTGTCCCCACAGAGTCTGACTAGGCCTGAGATAACAGGCAGGGCTGCACATCCTCTGGACCACACTTTGAAAACTCCCATCTTTTCATCTAGCAAAGTCCTTGCTGTGCCTCTGATCCCGCTTCCCCAAAGAACTTGTTTTCCCTACAGGCTGGAAATGCTGAAGCCTGATGTATGCCCCCTGGTGGTCAGAGAAGAGATACCAGGAGGGTAGATAACAGGATCCCTGGCCAACACCAATATTCTAGAATTCCATTCAGCCAGCGATTCCCTGCCAGCAGTGCCAGGGCAACAGACAATACCTAACAGAAACAAGACTTCACAGGATAGGCCCTCTATGGTGACTGTCCACCTGTTTTACCCATAGATATCATTCCAAGCTGAGAGTGGGCAAACTGTTACCTGGTCCAGTGATTTGTGTCTTACAACATGTGGCTTTAGATTCTAGGACCTTACAAGACTGCAAAGAGGAGATAAGGTCTCATGTAGCCCAGGCTGACCTCCACCTCCAGGATGGGATTACAAGCATGTATCACCTCACCCCACAAAAATTTTTGGTTTTCCTTTGAGACAGATTCTCACGTGTATCTCAGACTAATCTGGAATTTAAGATCCTACTGCCAAGGTTCGGTGGTGCACGCCTGTAATCCCAGCACTCAGGATAGCAGAGGCAGGCAGATCTCTGTGAGTTCAAGGCCAGCCTGGTCTACACAGAGGAGCCCTGTCTGAAAAACAAAAACAAAACAAAACAAAACAAAAAAAAAAAAAAAAACACTACCACCATCAATAAAAAGATCCTCCTGCCTCAGCATTCCAAAGTACTGGGATTCTAGGCGTGTATCATTTTGCCTGGCCTTGCATCAGTCTTAAATTATTTACCTTAAATAAGAAATAGCACTGGGCATGGTTGGGCATGCCTTTAATCCCAGCACTTGGAGGACAGAGCAGGCAGATCTCTGTGAGTTCGATGTCTACAGAGCAAGTTCCAGGACAGCCAGGGCTACACAGAGAAAACACTATCTTAAAAAGAAGAAAAGAAAAAAAAAAAAGAAAGCATTAATTTTCAATGCAGCTGAAGAACAAGATATGTACTAGTTCTGAGTCCTCTGTGACCTATGGACCTCAGAGCCATATCACAGTACACACTGAAAATCTGTTGACAGTGTCTACTGATTATTCCTGTGTCTCTTCCAAGCAGCTGTGTGTAGTCCTATGGGAACCTGAAATGCAGATGAGAATGTTTCCACGAATGCTGGGACTGATAGCTACAAGGTGGGAAAGTGCCTAAAAAAGCATGACCTCTTTGTGGGGGTCAAAAGACCTTTCCCCAAGGCTTGCATATTAGGTACCCTGCATATCAGGTGTTTACGTTGTAATGCACAACAGTAGCAAAATCACAGCTTCGAAGCAGCCATGAAGTAATCTTATTATTGGGGGTCGCCACAACAGAAGGAACTGTGTTGAAGGGTCGCTGCATTAGGAAGGCTGAAAAATGACTGGTCTAAGTGATTAACATCACTAGAATAGAACTTTCGTAGGCATGGCGACACCCAGCACCGAGAGTACACAAAGCCCAGCTTCAGGCAACAGCGTGGCAGACTGGAACACACAGCTGCGGGGAGACGAAGTCCAGCATGGAAGAGTCAGTCTGCTTGTGGTGTGCATGCAAAAGAAGATAGCTAGAAAGACTCTGCAGTGCCAGATGGAACAGGAGCTTTCCGTGAAAAGGCAGACTGGAGGCTCCTGGGAGGTCTCCTCAGGCATGCTGGGTAAGTTCCATGAGCTGGTCTCAGTGCATTTCAGAAAATCTCATCAAACTATTTGTTCATAATTTGTGCACTTTTGTGCTTCTGTTATATTTAAAATTAAAAGGGGTATCTAAAATTTCTCGGCGGGAGGTTGACTGTGGCGGTGTGCACCTGTAATCTCACACTTAGGATACAGAGGCAGGAGAATCCTGGGGTCACGGTCAGCTGGCTACACTGGGAGACCCTGTCTCAAGCAACCACTAAGCCAAGCAAACAAAGAGCTCCCCTGGGCAAGACAACACTCAGGACTCACCTCTCATGAGCTGAAGCTGAGTCCCACAGGGTATCAGAACCAGGAGTGTAATGCCCCTCTAGGGAGGAAAGATGTAATCTCAGACACAGCTGGATCCAGATGTCCTGCTCAAAGCCAGCCACAACAGGTTTGTCCTGAAGATAAGAGTCCAGAAACACTGTCTCACTGGGCTGTGGGACACAGCAGAGCAGACAGGTGTCTGACTGGAGTCTGTGGGAAGAAAAGTCAGGGATCTGACACTGTGCCAGTGTCAGAGGTTTACCTGAGCACACACCTGCTGAGAATGCCTGGCCAAGGGGTTAGTTAGTCAAAAGTGTTCAGCTGTGACACAGAGCAATCAAATACAAGAGCACAAAATAGGCCCCACAGGAATTTTTCCAAAACCTAGAGATGAGCATGAACTGACCCGCCAAAGAAACAAATGAGTAAAGAAACAATAGCATTTGGGCCTGGCAATTTGTAACTGTAATCTCAGCACCTGGAGAGCTGGGGATTCCTGTGAGTCTAAAGCCAGCCTAAGCTACCTGGTGAGATCTTCCCTCACAGAAAAGACACAGATGTCATGACAGGGCTTTTGTATTTTATTGCTCTGTGGTGCTGGAGTTACAAACATGCATCAAAATCCTAGGGGGTTTTGTTTGTTTGTTTGTTTAAACATGGATGCTAGGGTCTCTGTGAGGACAGTTTGATTGACATAGTAAGTTTCAGGCCGGGCAGAGCCACGTAGTGAGACTGTCTCAAAAAGAAAAGAAGGAACAAAAAAATCAAAACCAAAGTGGAAAGCCAGCAAGATGGTTCAACAGGAAAAAGCGCTTGACGTGAAAACCTGACAAGCTGGGTTTCATCCCTGGAGCCCACCGTGGGAGAAGAGATCAACTCCTGAAAGTTACCCTCCGACCTCTACTTAGGACCATGGCGTATGGATGGCCACATCAACCCACAGCAGCAACAACAAATAACAGATACAGGTGGAACAACACGGAGGAGGGCCAGACATGGAGATGCGGCTCCATGCTTGCCCGCTTGGACCGTCGAACAGAAACACACGCAACACGGAATTCAGAATTCCAGGGTGTGCCTCGAGAATGAAGTGCTGATCTATCCTGTTCCAGGTCCTGGGTCAACTGCCGAGCTCCACACACACACAAAAGGCAAGACTAGAGGGAAAGAAACAGAGAATTACAGGTGGGAGATACAAAGTAAGATTATGCACTGCAGTTAATTCATACTGTGGTAAGTACTGAGCAAGGATCCTGTTTAGGGCCTAGATTTTAAGCCCTAAAATGTGTTCACGGGTGGATTTCAGAGACAGAATGCTGACGCATACATACATGTGTGTGAGGAGAGGTGAACTGTGGACTTACATGTATCACATACGTCATATGTAATGTGTGTATGTATATGGCTTAGCAGGGGATCTCTGTGAGTCTGACACTGGCCAACCAGAGCTACAGGCTGAGACCCTGTCTCAAAACAAACCAACAGGTAAAAGATTGGAAGCCAGCGTGGCCAAATGTCTGTAACCTTTGCTCATCTCACCCTGTAAGGCATGGAGTGGGCATTGCTGGGACTCCTGACATAGCTAATCCTTGGTCTTTAGAAAGCCACAGGAGCCTCTCTGTCTCTTTGTGTTTTTCTGTCTCTCTGCACCTCCTCTCCAGAACCACCCCCCCCCCCACACAAAGTGTGGCTTTGAACAATGAAGCACACAATCCCAGTTGCTACTGGAAAACACCCAACAATGAGGAAAGCAACCAGCCTTAGAATGAAGTCAACACTGACATCAGTGGAACAGGATGGAAAAAGCCTAAATCTCACAAACATCACTGAAGGGCTCAAGCCCAAACTTACACTCCTGGGTCATATTCTGCTAGAAGAACTAAATAATCTTCTCATTGTCTAAGGCATCCTGCATAATTGATACAATGGAGAAGTCCTGACACACAGAACCTTGGAGAAAGGAATTTGAAAGATTCAGCCAAAGATTGGGGACAATGGTGAGAAAGAGAGAGGTGCGGTGAAGAGAGCCCAGTGAGACATGGGCTTTTGTGCCTGTTATCCATCCAGTGCTTGGGAAGCAGAGGCAGGAGAATCAGAAACTCAGAGTCATCACTGGCTACATTTGGAGTTGAGGCCCAGCGTGGGCTACAGGAAACCATAAAGCCCCATCTTTTCTTTAGACTCTGTCTTAAAACAACTAAGCCTGGAGTGATGGCACATGTCTTTTTTTTTTTTTTTTTTTTTTTTTTGAGACAGGTTTCTGTGTGTAGCCCTGACTGTTCTGGAATTCACTCTGTAGACCAGGCTGGCCTCGAACTCACAGAGATCGTGGTGCATGTCTTTAATCCCAGCACTCAAGAGGCAGAGGCAGGCAGATCTCTGTGAGTTCACAGCCAGTCTGGTTTACAAATAGAGTTCCAGGACAGCCAGGGCTCGGTTACATAGAGAAAGCCTGTCTTAAAAAACAAAAAAACAAAACAAACAAACAGACAAAAAAACACCCAACAACTGCAAGTTGGGTTTCTGGATGTTTGGCTTGAGCTGCTTCCCTTTCTGAGACAGAGATAGCAAAGGACAAGCAGTTTAGAGTTTGTGATGCTAGTGGCTGGACTGGGGTTAAGAACTCTATTTTGAGAATCATTTTGGACACCTAGAGGAAGTAGTCGCCTGCTCAACTCTGAAACTGAAGGCTGTCCTAGGCTAAACAGTGTCTGCCTAAACGGCATGTCCATCTTGGACCTCCGAATCTGCCTGGCTTTGGAGATAAGGAATTGGAAATTAAGTTGAGGTTATCCTGAATTAAGGTTGTCAGTGAATACAATGACTGGTGTCCAAATAAAAAGGCACTTGAGGGCTGGAGAGCCTGCTCAACGGTTAAGAGCTGTTCTTTCCCAGAGCCTGTGGGGCAGTTCGTAACTGCCTGTCACTCTAGCTCCAGAGGATCCAAATGGCTCTGGCCTCCCTGGACACCTGCTCATGTGAACATACTCAGAAACAGACACACCCACTCACGTGGTTAAAACAGTGTCTTAGTGCACACCATAAAAATGAATCCTCTTTCTTCGGCAAACATATTTTATTTTTATGTGCATGAATATTTTGTCTGCATGTATGTCTGTACCACATGTGTGCCTTGTTCCTAAGGAGGCCAAAGAAAATATGGGATAACATTTTCAAATAGGTAAGAGCTGCAGGTGGTTGTGAGCTGCCTGACACGGGTGCTGGGAACTGAGCTTTGCTGAGCCATCTCACAAAAGCCAGTCTTGCAAATGAATCTTAAAAAAAAAAAAAAAAAAAAAAAAAGGTTGGTGGGGGCTTCTGGCTATTGCCTATGCAGCAGCATAAGAAACTTCTGCCTCCTGGAAGCCAGGGGTTTGCCAGAGGGACAATGACTGATCTGATAGGTTTGAGCTCGTACTACATTCTAGTTGGTGTATTTAAGGAAGGTGCTGAAAACGGAACCAGTGAAGAAGTTGGCATTTTGTGTGTTTTTGGTTTTTCAAGACAGGTTTCTCTGTGTATCCTTACCTGTCCTGGAACTCACTCTGTAGCCCAGGCTAGAAATCCGCTGCCTCTGCCTCCTAAGTGCTGAGATGAACCACCTCAGCCTGGCTTGTTCTTGTTTTTTAAACACAGTGTCATATAACCTAGGCTGGCCTCAACTTCCTGATCCTCCTGCCTCTAATTCCCCCACTGTTGGGGTTTGTACAACTATGCTTGGCCAAAATTAGACATAAAAATATATATATATTTTTTTTTAATGGACACATAATAATTTTACATATTTATGAGATAAAGACAGTTTTCTTTTGTTGTTTCCTTGAGATAGTATCTCACTCTATGTGTAGCCCAGACTGACCTCAAAGTCATGATCAACCTTCCTGTCTCAGCCTCTTGTGTATAAGTGTGATGGGCAGCCAGGTCAGCCTTGACTACGTAAGTCCCTGTCTGTGAATTAATAAATAACAAATAAAAGTAGCCAGGCAAGGTGGCACATTCCTTCATACAAACAGGGTTCTATCCCTGTCTCAAAAAACAAACAAACAAACAAACAGCAAAACATAAACCACAGGTGCTCAGCAGTTAAAAGCAGCATGCTGCTCTTGTAGAGGACCTGCGTCCTATCCTCAGCATCCAGGTCAGCTGGTTCACAACTGCCTGTAGCTTCAGCTCTAGGGATCCGATGCCCTCTTCTGGCCTCATGGACACCTGTGTGCATGCGTGCCTGCACAGATAGTTAAAATAAATCTTTGGGACTAGAGAGATAGCTCAGTGATTAAGAGCGCTTGCTACTCTTGTAAAATAATTGGGTTTGGTTCCCAGCAAACACAAGGCAAATTCCAAACATCTGTAACTTGAGTCCCAGGCGATCCAGTATCTCTTCTGACTTCCATGGGATTCTGCATGTTCTCTCTCTCTCTCTCTCTCTCTCTCTCTCTCTCTCTCTCTCACATACACACTCACTCATGTGATAGAGAGAAGATAGATGAATGACAGACGGGTGGACAGACAGATGTAATTTTGAAATTTAACTGGGTGTTCAGTGTTTTTCTTCTCCAGTTGGACAGCCCTAAGGAAGAAGCAATCCACTGCTGCTTGTCAGGAGTAGAAAATGGGCTGTGTCATCAATAGGACACATTGAACCTAGATACTCATTCTCTAGACATCTAGATACTCATTCTTTTTTTTTTTTTCTGTTAAAATCTCCCACTTAGACCGTGAAATGCCTCTGTGATTTCTTTTTCTTTTTTTAATTTTATTTTTTATGTGCATTAGTGTGAAGGTGTCAGACCCCTTGGAATTGGCATTCCAGGTGGTTGTGAGCTGCCATGTGGGTGCTGGGTAATTGAACTTAGGTCCTTTGGAAGAGCAGATAGTGCTCTTAACCACTGAGCCATCTCTCCAGCCTGAGACACTCATTCTTATATCAGTTTTGGGGGTTCTATTGGGAGGAAGTGGTTTGGTCTGTAGAGCTGAAAATTCTGTGAGACTGCAGTGAGCTGAAACGCCTTCCTGTCTCAAATAGGGAAAGCCTGCTTTGGCATCCTCTGACCAGTGCGTATGTCTCAATGCCTGCGAGCAGAGGAGATCTCAGAAGCTTGAGATGTCTCCCAAGTTCTCTGGCACTACTTGGCCTTTTCAGCCGTTTCAGAATCAGCCAAGCTCCAGACAACAAAATCAGATTGATTGCTGTTGTTTCCGTGAGCTAGTATCTCACTATACATGTAGTTTTTAAAGCGGTCAGGGGAGAAAAGGTCCCCCAGAGCTGGCCCTTGTGGGGGAGGTAGGAGATGGCTGAATGCTGACGGGCCCTTTGCTTTGTACCTTTCCTGCTGTGTCCAACAGAAGTGCTGCTCAGCAGCCCGGCTAGCCCCATTGTCCTCTCCACAATGTGCTGAGTCCAAGGGCTTCCCTGGCCCCATGGTCCCGTCCCCTACCCTGGGCCCAGAGGCAAGGCCAGGGGGGACAAGCCACCCATAAAATTCCGTTGAGTACCAAACATCTCTGGCAAGTGGCCAAAGTATCAATAAATCCGAATTTTAAACTGGCCAGCTTACCCTTTGGAGGGGGGGGGGTTGTCATGTTCCCCTGTGTCGGTCACCACCGGCACATCTCACAGCTCAGCTCACACACAGCTGTCCTCCTGGCTTGCGCGGTGAGTGTGTGGACGAAGAAAGTGTTTCTCAGTCCATGTCTCTGATAGACCTGCCGAAAACTAGACTGACAAGGGCTGGGGCTGGAGTATGCTCAGGTCTTCTGGATTCCATTGCACAAGCGTGAGCGTGCTCGAACACACACATGCACACACACACGTTGGGCAAGGTGCTGGTAGAATGGACTACAAGTTATAAACTACTGAAAAAATGAAAGCTGAATAAATGCGGTCTTTCCCAGTTAAAGGAGGACATTTATCTGAAGCTTTTTTTCCTAGAGTCTGTTGCCTATTTCTGCTCGTCTTTATGAGACCTAGCCTAAAATGCAATCTTATTTGGCACAGGAAAAGAGACAGTTACCACTTGCTGAGTTCTGAGTGCCTAACACTGTCTTGGTCACTTCAGCTTTCTCATGTGACAGCTGTTGGTGAGCCAGCAGAGGCCACCAGACCAGAGAGGAGAAACATGCACTTTACAGTCAAACAGACACGCGTTGAGTCCTGCTAGGTTTCTTGGCTTAGATAGCCTTCTCGTTCCTGTTTACTCCTCTGTAAGATGAGTGCAGCACTAACCTGTTCATGACGCCATCCTGAGGATCGGGAAAACATCGCCAGTGTTCCAGATGCTGCAGTTACTAAGAAGGAACAGGAAATTATGATACCTATTCCGGGAAGGGATCGCTGGTTGCTCTCTTCATTTCTGCTTCTTGGGGTAGCCCTTGCTCCAATGTCCCTGAAAAGAGGCGGGACTGGGGCCTGGAGCTTTGAGCTCATGTCCTGAGTAGGACAGGCAAAGCAGAGATTGAGACAAGGAAGAGGCCTGTACAGAGGCTGAAGACGCGGCTCAGGACTGACTTGCTGGTCTAACCTTTGCAAGCCCTGAGTTTGCTTCCCAGCACCCTGAAAGAAACAGCATCCCCTCCCACCCCCATATTAGGTTCTCATCTTGAAAGCTCGGCACTTAGCACAGAAGACTCCACAGTCCTCCAGTTTCTGGGACTTAAGGTGACAAAAGAAAATCACGTGTGAGGTGGGGATAGCAGCTTAGGCTGCCTGTAACTCTAGGAATGCCTGGTGGACGGATGTCAGTGGTTGTGCGCTCATTGATCCACACACTACCTCCCCTCCCACCTCCCACGCAATGGTTTTGCGCATGTGTTGGGATTTTTCAACCAATCATAAAAGTCTCTATTTCCTCTCTAAAATGAAAAGTTGGCCAAATCAGTCTTTATTGAACCAAAAATTCACCGGAATAAACAATTCCCCCAAAGATCCTGAGAGTGAAAAAAAAATCAGAGAGCCCAGGCAGCATGCTATGGCTGGGTGAGTAGGCTGTGCACAGCAGGGTGCTATGGCAGTTCTGTGCCTCTTTCATCTGCGCCTCTTCCGGAGTCACAGAACTCATTCATTTTTTTTTTTTCAAAAGGGACTAACCAAGCTAAGCAGAAGCAAATAATTATGTGGTTATTTATTTTCAAAAATAACTGTTTTAATAGAAAATGTTTTGTTTGTTTGTTGGTTGGTTGGTTGGTTTTTCAAGGCAGTGTTTCTCTGTGTTGCCCTGGCTGTCCTGGAACTCACTCTGTAGACCAGGCTGACCATAAACTCACAGAGATCGTCCTGCCTCTGCCTACGATTAAAGGTCACCACTCCCCAGCTAATAGAAAATGTGTTTTTGTTGCTTAAATCTCAAAGACTACAGAAAAATTATTATGAAAAACTTTGTCCTAAACCAAGATGCCTTTCTGGATCCTAGTTTCTAAAGACATTTCTACAAGGTGAGGCCATCTAAGTCAGTCCAGAAATTAGGGAATGAAAGACAGAATGATTGACCAAAGAAATATTTCCCTAAGATGGCAGTCTGGAAAGGAGAGAAAGGAGTAAGAAAAGGAAAGGGGAGAGGTACAGTAAGATGGCTCAGCTGGTAAAGGTGCTTGCTGCCAAGTCCTAACACCAAGTTTAATCCCTGGAACCCACATGGTGGAAGGAGAGAACTGACTCTCACAAGATGTCCTCTGACCTTGTCATGAGCACCATGCATACACACACACAGACACATAGACACACACATGTACATATACACACACACGCTCTATACAAACAATGTAATAAAAGCATTTTTAAAACGTTTAGAAAGAGATGGCTCAGCAGTTAAGAGCACTGGTTACTCTTTTGGAGAACCCAAATTTGATTCCCAGCACCCACATGGCAACTCACAACCTCTGTGACTCCAGCTCTAGGCAATCCCGTGTCCTCTTGTGGCCTCCATAGGCACCAGGTATGAAAATAGTGCACACACAAACATATAAGCAAAATACTCTTATGAATTTTTTAAAAGATGAAGGAAAAAGAGAGAAAAAAAATAAAAGGATGAGCCTCTGCCTATTAATGACATCATTCTTGAGGCTAAGGCAGGAGAATTGTCTTGAACTCTCCCAGTGCAGCCTGGGCTACAGTGTAAAACCCTGCCACAAAAATAAATACACAGAGTATAGAGGTGCGTGTTCCCAAGCTAAGGGCCTTGAGTTTGACCCCCAGAACCTGCATGGTAGAGAGAGAACTGGCTCTTGGAAGTTGGCATCTCACTTCTGCACGCAAGCTTGAGGGTTTGAGTGCACACACAAACACACACACAAGATAAGTAAACAAATGGGAACTCGCACACAAAGTGCTAACAACAAAAACAATGCAGGTCATTCGAGTCAAAATTTTAAAAGCAAGCTGCAATATTAAAATGAATATTTAACAAAACAGGGTGAGATTCAGGTCTGCAGGTCAATTGTAATCAAACTCAGTTCCTATACAGCTGTCTGTATACAGGATAATAGGAGTTTTGAGAACATTTATGTTTCTTCAACTGAGCATTTTACAAAATGCTCAGTTTTGTAAAAATATTTACGCTTATTTATCTATTTAGCAATCTATCTATCTATCTATCTATCTATCTATCTATCTATCTATCTATTTTACCTTTTTTTGAACATCCCACTATATATATATACATAGCCCGAGCTGTCCTGGAATTCACTATATAGATCAGGCTGGCCCTGAAATCATATCGATCCACCTGCCTCTGCTTCCTGAGTGCTGGGGTTAAAGGCACGCCCCACCACGCCAGGCTTTACTTTCACATTTAAGGAAGTGTGTGTGCGCGCACGCATCTCTGTGTGGTGCGCGTGCATGCGTGTGTGTTCCATTTTGATGTGTTTGGTAGAACCTCTCAAGATTTTAGGAAGTTCCAAGGCCAAAAAGGATAAGGACAAACATTGAGTGCAGGCACTTCTGCCCTCAGCTCCCAGCTGCTCTGAGAAGACCTTCCTAGGCAGCCAGCCCTGCCCAATAGCAGGGCCTCTGCATTTCTGTAACCCTAAACAAAGCCCCCAGGGACACCCCACACACACCCAGGAGGCTGAGCCACTAAAGCTCCGGGGATCAGGAGAAACAAAGAGAGAGGGGAAAGAGAGTGCTGACAGAGCCACTGGCCAGCAGCTGCGGAACTATAAAGAGAGGACCCACAGAGGAAGCTGCACCAGATGGAGACCCAGACTGTGCAGCGAGAGCTGGGTGAGTAAGGCCTCGATGGCGCCTTTCCTTTTCTTTCCTTATCTCAAGAGACAAATACAGGGGAGGAACCAGCTGTCTCCCGCCTGGAGGTTTGAACCTTTGGAGGTAGAGAGTCGGGACTTTGGTGGAGAACTTTGTTTGCTACCTTAAGGAGTCACCTATGACGATAACCACATCCTTAGAAATCAAGACTGGGAGTCAGCGCTTATGGGGCACAGGAGGGTGGGGCGGGCTGTAGCAGGCAGGGTACTGTTTACTTGGAGGCCCCACATAGATAGAAATACCAGAATTTATATGCATTAGTTCTTAAGCTGGATGCCAGGGTAGAACCCTGAATGTCAGTTCTGAGTCTGGAAACCTGATATACACCTGCCTGTCTTCTCTCTCCCTTCTTTTTCCTTCCCTCATCCTTCTCCTCAACATAACAACAATGATGACTATTTAACCTCTATGGTCATTGGTCCTCATTCATAAAATGAGGTGGTGATGTTATTTGACTTGTGAGAACAAGATACATTGATGCAAGTAGAACGTGGTCTGACATAGAGTGAGCCAGCCATTGGTTTGTTTTGAGACAGAGTCTCACTGTGTATCCCTGGCTGTCCTGGCATTCACTCTGTAGACCAGGCTGTCCCCGAACTCACAGATATCCTACTACCTCTGCCTCCTGAGTGCTGGGATTAAAGGTGTGCACCACCATACCCAACCTAAGCCATTATATTTTTATAAATACTCTTTCTTCTTCATTTCAAACACATACACCCACAATACTAGAGACTGAATCTAAGGGTTCAAACATGCTGGACAAGCACTCTAGTACTGAACTATATCCCCAGCCACACAACTCCAGTCCCCTTTTATGAGACTAAGTCTCATTGTGTAGCCTTAGCTAGCCTGGAACTCATAGCCCTTACTTTTAAATTTGAGACAGTCTCACTAAGTTGTCCAACTAGGTCTTGAGTTTGCAATTCTCCTACCTACTGTTTCAAGTAACAGGCATTAAATGCTTGCACCACCAAGCCTGGCTTCAGTGCATACTTTTCAAATTGCCCTATGCCCCATATCACCACTGCTTTGGCATGGTGCTGCGGAAGTGCCAGCCCTGCTATTGAGCTGCACACCCAGTATATAGTCAATAGTGACATAGATGAATACTGTGATGAGTCCTCAAATACCAGGGAGAAGTCAAAATCTGCAGGGTGGAAAAGGCAGGGCAGTCTTTGAGGCAGCAAGGTCAAACAGCTAGGTCTAGGAGACAGAGAAAGAGGGGATGGTGGCATGGACATACAGAACCATAGGTGCTGGGAAAACCGCGAAGGGCCCAAATACAGGCTACGCTTTAATCAGGGGCAGGTGGAGAATTTTGGCCGTGTTGCCTGAATGTGACATGAGACAGTTGTCCGGGAGTTGATATGGTGAGACTCAGGCAATGTTCTCTGCAGGCAAGCAAGAGGACAGAAGGTACATCCATCAGAGGTACCAAATCCCCTTGCAGTCTTTCATTTGCATTACTTTTCTAATTTTTACAATGACTGCATATAAAAGGCTTATCGATAGAAAACCTGAGGTAGCAGCAGCAGAGCCAGGATCCCAACCAAAATCTGGGACTACAGCCTCTTTGCCTTTTTTCTGTACCTTCTTACCTCATTACCCACTTCCTGAAAGCCACAGCACTGATATGTATTCTATCTTCCAGAAACTCTTCCAACCACTAAGATGGCTCAGACCAACCCTATGCCAGGTTCCTTGGGACCATGGAAGGTAAGCTGTGCCAATCACACGGAAAATGAAAGGGTCCAACAGGGCAGGGCTGAGGTGCTGTCACATAATAGCTACAAGGCTGTACTGATTCTTGAGACAATGCTCATTTCCTCCCCTCCCCCCCCACAAAAATCTGTAGGAGGAAGGGCCCATCTAACACCTAGGTACTGTTGAAAGAGGACTTTTCCAACATTGAATCTGGAAGTCCATGATGGGTGGGATTTATTTCCTAGGCCAATTCTTATTTGCCATTAGGTCCAAAAAGAGCCATGGGATCCAGGCCTCCCTACTAAGTCTGAGGTTGGATTTAGCCATGAGCTAAAACCAGCAGATTCCAGCCCTTTCACTGTTTCCCTGACACACAATCCTTTCCTTATTGGACAACTCTGTTCTGAGGCAAGCTCACAGTTTTGGGAGCTTGCCAAGTCAGGAACCAAGCTCTAGTTGAAAGGATGAAAGCTTTATCACAAACCCTCCCTTTGTACTTTAGAAGCAAAGAAATAACCCACAGGGTTTTTCTAGAAGTTCCAGAATCCTGGCCTCTGGGTCACATGGGTGGAGGACACTTGGTGGAATCAGAGTTCACAAGGCCTCGGTCATCGATTGGGCTCTGTTGTCCTTGGAAGACCATTCCTATCATAAATTTAGCCAGAACATGTTAATGTCACTGAGCAGTGGTACTAATTTAAACACCTTTTTACCCTGTCTACACTAGAAAAGACCATCAGCCATCCTGGGCCATAGCTAGTGATGAAAAAAATCACAGGATAAACATAAGCTCTTAACTTGCACCCTTATTCTTACTGTGTACCTGATTCTTTTTCTTGTCCCTTAAATCCATTTCAGATAACCATCTATGATCAGGAGAACTTCCAGGGCAAGAGGATGGAGTTTACCAGTTCCTGCCCAAATGTCTCTGAGCGTAGTTTTGATAATGTCCGGTCTCTTAAGGTGGAGTGTGGCGCGTGAGTATGGGCACCAACAGTAGTACTTCAGGCCCTTTTCAGGTCTCTATAGAGGATCTAGGAAGATGTTCCCCAGATGCTAATCACTTCTTAAAGAGAGGTGTCTCATTTTCTGAAGGAAATTACTACATGCTTAATTAACTCAAAGCTAGTGATGATGTCCATATCTTGGCAGTAGACTTGCAGCGGGGCAAGAGAGAAGTTTGTGTGCTTTGACATCCACAGGCTACCTTTGATTCCTTTAGAACAAGCACAGAAGCCTGTTTTTTCTTGCCCATACAAAATAGGAGGGGAAAATAGTATTATTTTATTTTTTTTTGAGACAAGGTTTCTCTGTGTAGCCTTGTCTGTCCTAGAACTCTGTCAAGAGGCTGGCCTTGAACTCAGAGATCCTCCTGCCTCTGCCTCCTGAGTACTGGGATTAAAGTTGTGAGCCACCACTGCTCTATTAAAAGGAACAAAATCTCAAGGATCCAGAGACACATTAGTTCTGTGTTCCAAATATTTCTTGTTGATAGTCTATGTTGGTGAGGTTCTCTGGCTTTTGTCTTCTGATTCTTGGCAGGCCAGCCAAGCTGTGAACCCACACTAGTACCTTGTTGGCTTATGCAGAAGTGGCTCTGCATGTGAGCAAGTTTCCACAAGCTGCTCTGTACTGACCCTTTAAAACAGGCAAAGAGCTTCAATAAATGAGACTCAGTTGTTAACAACTCAGAATGCTCCGGTAAGAAGATGGAAGTATGAACAGCAGGAGGAAGAACCCTCAAAGTAACAAAAAGATGACTAAAATGAAAATAGAGCTCTGTTAATACACATTCATAGGACAGGAGAATCTTCAGTGGGAAATTTCAAAACACATTTACAAACACGTTAAAGTCATGAGTTTATCCCACTATAAACTCATCTAAAACAAGAGAGGCCTTCTCCCTAAGGCCACACAGGTTTTGAGCACCATGAACAACCACTACCTATCTTTGGCAGCTGGATTGGTTATGAGCACACCAGCTTCTGTGGGCAGCAGTTTATCCTGGAGAGAGGAGAATACCCTCGATGGGATGCCTGGAGTGGGAGCAATGCCTACCATATTGAGCGTCTCATGTCCTTCCGCCCCATCTGCTCTGCTGTAAGTCTGAAATTTCAACTTTTTTTTTTTTTTTTTTTTTTTTTTTTTTTGCATGGGGATGGGGTAAAGGATTAGGTCAGACTGATATTTGCGTTACCTCTATCAATTATGTTAAATGTAATAGGAAGGATGAAAGTAAAGAATAACACTCTTCCCTTCCTTTAAATCTATCATTTGAGCATAGGGAGGCAGGCAGATCTTTGTAAGTTCAAGGCCAGTCTGGTCTAGAGTGAGTTCTAGGACAGCCAAAACTCTGTCTTGAAAAGAAAAATCTGGACTGGAGATATAGCTCAGTGGTTAAGAGCACTGGCTGTTCTTCCTAAAGGTCCTGAGTTCAATTCCCAGCAACCAGTGCGGCTCACAACCATCTATGAAATCTGGTGCCCTCTTCTACTGTGCAGGTATGTACATGCAGGCAGAACACTGTATTTACAATAAATAAATGTTTAAAAAATTTGCTATTTGATTTCCCCCTTATGCTAAGAAGAAAAGCATCTCCCTACAGGGACAGGAAGCGTATACTCAAGACCCAAGTGTTATAGGACCAGTGAAAAACCACTGACCCTGTGGCAAGAAGGCCAGTTAAATTGCAATGTGTTAAGATTTCACGGAGGGAAAAACAGGGTAATGCATAAACACATCTTCAAGCACGGAATAGGCAGGTCTCCTAATGAAACTCACCACACTGCTATCTCAGCTTTTAAGACCAGGCATCACTCAACACTAAGCATACACTAAACTGCAATTCAAATTTAATCAGAAGATAAATCCTAAGTCTACTTGTAAAATATGTAACAATTAACATTTTGTAAAGTATATGATGTGTAAACAGGGAATAAACACCTGTTCCTAATCTGCTTCTAAGAACATATAAAGTGTACCTAATTATTTAACTATTTGACCACAAAATGAGTAATTTTCTTCCTTAAATATAGGCAATTCTTAATTTTCTTTCAGTTCCTTAATAATATTCAATTTCCCACTAAGCTCTCATTTGAACTGGCCAAACCTGGTTGTTTTCTAGTTTCAAAAAAAAAAAAAAAACCTCTGAATTTATATTGCCATTTTTTTTTCATTGTTGACAAGAGCACCTAACATGACTTTGATAAGGTTTTTTCTTTTTTAATGATTATCTGTAGTGTTCTGCCTGCATATTTGCCTGCAGGCCAGAAGAGGGCACCAGATCTCATTATAGATGAGACATGGTTGCTGGGAATTGAACTCAGGAACTCTGGAAGAGCAGCCAGTGCGCTTAACCTCTGAGCCACCACTCCAGCCCGGAGGGCGTCTTCTTTGAGCTCAGTTTCAGCTGATTCTGGGGGTGAGACGAGACAGATCAAGGCGGGCAGAAAGTAGAGAGGCAGAAGTATGCATCTTAAAATGTCAAAGGCAGATCACAGGCAGTTGTCCATGAACATTTTTGCCCAAGAACAGAGTATGCAGGAACTGTCTACTTCAGTCCCCAGTCTCCACATGTCCCCCTCCAACATGGTGGACCCAACTGGAAATAGAAACTTCCATGAGGCTGCATTTAGTTTTTTAGAGCTGGGCATGATGGCATATACTTGTAATTCTAGCACCTAATCTTGAATATGAGGCTAATCTAGTGTACACAGCAACTTTTGAATAAAAAACAAAGGTAAAAGCAGAAACAGAATAACAATTAGATCTCTTGAAGGCTGAAAATGGTCCTGACACAGGAGTGACACCTGCCTAGGCTAGAACCTTAATAGTCTATTTTATGATTCTTCTCAAGATCTCAATCATGTACCTCACTGAGGTTACTGGAAACATCTGCAATTCACACATGTACTGGGCATAATTAGTCTTTGAAGAAATTGTCTAAACAGCACTCTGCATGCACATAGGGTGAGAGCACAAGACCTCATTCTAGATGGTTGTGAGCCACCATGTGGTTGCCGGGAATTCAACTCCAGACCTTCTCTTCCACTGTCTTATTTGTATGTGTGTATAATCTTTAATTTGAACTAAATAGAATTATGGTTTGTTTTTTTTTCAACACAAGAATTTCTTAGTGTAGACCAGGCTGTCCTCAAATACAAGAGATTGATCTGCCTCTGCCTGGAATTAAAGGTGTGCACCATCACAACTCTGAAGGATTTTTCTTATGCCTGTTTGGCCTGAATCTTTTACCTATGATCATATATTCTGTAGACCAAAAAAGTGTCTTAATTTTGGGAAAATACACTCAGGTCTTACTTTCCGGATTATAGAATCATAAGGAGTCTAAGATTACCATCTTCGAGAAAGAGAACTTCATCGGGCGCCAGTGGGAGATCTGTGATGACTATCCTTCCTTGCAAGCCATGGGCTGGTTCAACAATGAAGTTGGTTCCATGAAGATACAATGTGGGGCGTAAGTACAGTAACAGGGTTGGAGCACATATCAAAGTAATTCCTGCATGTCTAAGGCTAATGACTAGAGGCACCAAGTGTCACAGTTACTAGATTCCACACACTGGCATCATCACACACTGATCTGGAATTCTTTACTTCAGCTACCACTTGCTGTATTTTCCTCAACTAGGTATCTCCGTAGAAGCATTTATATTACTCTACACCCTTTATTTCATGATTAAGGCTAATCAGCTGTAGGCCAACCTGCTTTACAAAGTTAGTCCAGGACAACCAAAGCTACACAGAAAAACCGCCTTGAAAAATAGAGGGGGGAAAATGACTTAAGTATCCTGTGCCAGTGTGTTCAGGGAAAGACTGAAGTTTTGAGGTATATGTCAGGTTTTTAATAATGTGTTTTGAATTTCCTAGCTGGGTCTGCTACCAGTATCCTGGATATCGTGGTTATCAGTATATCTTGGAATGTGACCATCATGGAGGAGACTACAAACACTGGAAAGAGTGGGGATCTCATGCCCAGACTTCCCAGATCCAATCTATTCGCCGAATCCAACAATAGTGGGTTAAAACTTCCAAAATTCCTCAAGCATGAGATCTTGCTAAACACTCTAGAATTCAATGTTCTGCCCAGAAACTGCTTTCAAATGTTAGCTAAAATCCACAATAAATGTCATTTAAAAAAAAAAAAAAAAAGCCTTGGAGACTCTATCAACTAACATGCACAAATCCCTTTTGCGGCTGTTATTGATAAAACCCCAAATTTGTCTGATAGTAGTGGCACACATCTCTAATATCAGCACGGCAGAGGAAGGTGGAGTTTGACTGAGGCCAGCCTGGTCTACATACTGAAATCCAGAACAACTGGAGCTATATAATGAGACCCTATTTCAAGAAAAGAGACATATAATCATAGTATCTTTAAGACTGATGCTCTTTGCACAACTTACCTTTGGAAAATAGTGTCCCAATCATACCTAAGTTTTCAGTAAGGAATCTAAATATTAAAATACAAGCAAAACAAAACACACAACACACCTCAAAACTTTAAATTTTTTTATTCAACAATGTACACTTATTGTCTTATTTGATCTACAAATCTCTCAAGTTTTTCTGATAAAATAAGTGAATCTGAGTATGGTTGTAGAGTGTAATTCTGTATTTTTAAAACACTGAACATTAAGTAAGACATTGATAAGGGAAGATCGTCATGTAACTGAGACTTCCTTGGATTCTGTAAGACCAGCAACAGCTTTAGTAAATACCTAAGCAGTTATTTAGCAAAACGGTAATTTCTGGTCACTGTTCTATCTAGAAAAGACCTACTTTTATTATTTTGAAACTGGGCAAAACAAATACTGAAAAAAAATTCAGAGGGAAAGGGACAATATTTTCTAACATAACTGTAATTTACTAATTATCCTTTTCCAAAGTAAAAGGCAACCCAGCTCATAAATAAATGTTTGTGCACAATATACAGAGATTACTTCTCCAATACATTTGCTATGTTGCTATGCAAGCAAGTCTGGCTTTGAACTCATAGTCCTCCTGTTTTTCAGCCTTCTAGTTGCCAGGATTACAGTTGTCCACCATAACCTAGCTACCAGTTTATTCTAAGTCTGGACATAAATGAACTATTGACAGATGCTCAAGAGTATCCAAAGCCATCCAAGCTGTTTGTTACTACCTGTGTTTATAAAGCTATGCAGTATAGACCACATTTTGAATCTTTACTAGATTTACTAACTGCCACTATAAACAAACAGAACTTTTGCTGTCTTTTCAAAGCCAACAAGATGAAAGAGAAGTAACCCTTTTTGATAGACAAAAGCTATAAAATAATATACCTCATACATGGGAGCTTGGGAAAACACCATTGGTAGCATCTTTTACTCAGCTCACCTACAAATATCCTCAAGTTACCGAAGTTACCTGTTAAAAGATGAAAGACAAGCTCTGGCCAGCACACCTAAACAATTAGTACATGCAACTGCAGTGAATGAACCAGAAGCCCAGATCAGTCTGGGCTTTTAAAAAGATACACATTGTCCTTAAAAACAATTTGTGTTTTGACCTTAAAACTGAATGATTTTTATCTCAAATCATCCAATTAACCAAATTTATGTTAAAATAATAAAGGTTTAAAAAAGTCAATCCTACCTTTAAATCAGTTTAAGACATAAAACTGCCACAGAGCTTCATATGACAAAGGTCTTTCCTTTGTTTCAGTTTGAATGACTTTCCATTTCTTTTTCATAAATATTCAAAATTCACTGAGAAGAGCATTGGATCCAATGGTTTATAAAGCTGATACAATTGCCCTGTTTCAAGAAAAGCCCTTTAATAGATACAAGTCAAGCTCTCATATCAACTAGACTTTATTCAATGGGTGCCAGCTTTCCTTTTAGTTCCACTGATGAGCTAACTAACTTTGAACCATGTTTCCAAAGATGGTAAAGCTAAGAACAGCAAAATAATGACAGATTACTTTTGGTAATGACACACAAATTAAACTTTCAAAACATGTGCATAGCTTTATTCATCTACTTAGATCTAACCTTTTCACGGAGCTTCAGCAAAACTGAGTGTGCAAAATGCATTTCTAAAACGTAATGCAAGCAAAGCTTTTCACATTTACACTGGCAGAAAATACAGAAACTAACAAATCACATTAGGGAGAGTTCAGATCTGTCTTTTTTTGTTTTGTTTTCTATAATGACAAGAATTGCACAGTTTATTGAAACAATTGTTGTAGACATGAATATTAAAATCTTTCTAAGCAAGGTGCTTCAACAACGAAACTTTTGTTGGAAAGAGCCAATAACTTGGATCAAAGCTCACAAAGAATCACAAAAGTAATGTATACTCCCATCATCTTCCTGTACTTTGCAAACAATGCTTTTAATAACACCTTTTGTAACACTAGGAGACAGCAAACTGAAACTTCCTTCAAAGAGCACAAAGTAATGATATAATCACATCACTTGTAGGTGGTGTTAGGGTGGGGGTGGGGGTAGGTAGTGAAGATTCCTTTTTACTATTTCCCACTACAGACCAGCCACTAACAGACTAAAAAATAAAGAGAAAGAAAAAAGTGACTCCCCAGTTTATAAAAGAGTTCCAGTTTGACAAGATCTATGACTTTAAACAGAGAGCACCAATTGGGCAATAGAATGAGCGTTTCCACTGCATAAAAATCAGTGAGGTGGTAAGAACCATCAACATCTCAGGCATCACTACATGGCCTTTCCCAAAGTTAATATACATGCAAGGCACACTGATATAAAAATAGATCTCTGGCCAACAAATATATTAAGTAAGCAAATTAAAATTTTGGCTCTCCAATATTGGCAACATCAAAATATAACCAGATAGCTTTGGACCACACATCACTCTCGTATTCCTCCACCTCATTTGGTGTCCCTCCTCTACACACTTTTTTGGGTTTTTTCTCCTTCATGTTTGAGTATGTGCTTGAGAAGATTTTTTTTTTCCTTTGTCAAGTAGCATTCTTATTGTTTACCTTTGTTAAGTAAAAAATACACTAGAGAAGCAGAGTAGTCAGGAGCTTTATTAACTAAACTAAATATTTGACTGGTTCAGGGCAGTATTACTTCTCTGATACAAACTAAAAAAAAAAAAAAAGCTTACTGACAATTAAAAAGAAATCAATGAAATGACTTCCTTTAATTCTTACCAATTCTTTTTGAAGCAAAGAGGGAATAATAGAAACAAAGCCAAAATCTAAACTATTTTCAGTAGAAGACACTTTAAGGCCAAAATATAATATTAACCAAAAGTTTATTTCCTAAGTTACTGTCCCCTTCATAGGTCAACACCAACTACAAACTGACTCACTTCCTGAAGAGAATTATAAACTGTTCATTTTTGTTAGTGGCTGTGCTACCGAGAAAAGGTATTAAAGCAACCTATGGTTATAGTAATGTTAAAAAGTGCATCACATTCTTGATTTTCAGTTTCCCATAGTAGCAGCAGGCGTAATCTAAGACAAAACAGTTGTTTTCATTCTAAAGATGCAACAATACCAATGAAATGTATTCAAGATTGTGAAAAAATTATCTACAAAAGATAAAGGCAAACTGACTTAATAGAACTAAAGGTATTCGTTCATATTTACATGTTAAAACCACTTTGTTAACACCAAATCTTTACAATTAGCAAAAGAAATATGCATTTTAAGAATAAAACAGATGTTACTAAAAGCAATATTCATTTTGGAGCCTTTGTTTAGCACCTGAGGAAAAAAGGGGTATGTATGGAAAGCTATTGTAATGTTGATCTAAGCTGGTTTGGTCTGTAGATTAAAACTGATTACAGTGAAAGCAAAAATGAACTGGGGAAGAAAAAAAAAAAACAACATTTGTAGCTATTTTAAATAAGGCTTTAAAAAACAGACACCAAAATATAAAATGGCTTCAGAACTCTGAATGTAACAAAATTTTCTAAACAGGAAATGTCTGAACCAACAATCCCCACTACAGCTTAAGAGTGTTAGTTTCCAGTCCCTAACTGCAAATACACTGGTGCTTTACTGGGCATTTTATGATGGACTTAAAATTCAGAACTACTGCTTCAAAACTTTGCTTGAGCGAGTTGATTTATCATTTTTCACACCAACACATAAGGGTCTTGCTGTTCACATAAGTGTTCACAATCATTTTAAGATACTAATAGCAGAAGCCCACCTTCTTCAATCAGGAAACCAACAATGATTTTGAGAACGGTTGGCCTGTGTTCTTCCAGCCATCTTTAAGCAGCTTCTATTCTTGTCCTGTGCTTCCTTCCCTACTAGTGAATTGGGGAAGACTAGCAAGTCCCATCCTTTTTCTAACTGTTAAAGAGTCCTATCAAAATCCAGCCTGGCAGGGATATATCAATAGGCCTTATAGAAACTTTGTCCACTACATGTATTTGGCCAGCTACAACGTATTAGTTCTTTAGTCTGTTAATGATGCTTAGCATTTTTGAACACTAAGTGACTTGAGAGACACCACCACCAGTAGTGGAGAGGTTTTTTAATTCAGCCAAGTCTTCAGTTTCCTTGCCCATGGCCATTTGTTACAAGTTCACATTTCATTTACATGCCCTGTTTTCTGACCTTAAAATCCACCCCCCTGCTCCCAAAAAGCATAAGGACATAAGTACTTTTGGTGAGGGCTGGCAACAAGCTAACAACCAAGTGTAAAATGACTGCTGCTGTGTCCTACCAATTGAGGTTTATTTTCTCTAAAAACTGTCATTTGAAAACAAATCACAGCACTGTATTTCATCTATGAATTTTTGCAAGTAATGAGTAACTAGTAAAGCAGAGAGAGGACAGCCAAAAGGTGTCACTCAAGTTTCTAGATAAGTAGAGAAGGGCAGGCTACTATAGACACCATAAACACACTTTATTGATGATGTGGAGGTTCATTACTAAGGTTAGAGGAAACACTATGCAATTAACTTCAGGTTGTGGATGAAAATAAAAGATAAATACACCCTGTCTTTTGTGGGGAAGGGATATTATTTAAGACATTTACACAAAAGTGAGTGGTATGTGACGCAAAACCTACAATCAAGACAAACTGAAAAAGAAATCATCACCCATAATTAGTTTCTATTAAAAAAATAGGTCATGATTTCATCCTTAGTGCCAT